CTCCTCCTCTTCCTTCTTCCTCTTGGCGTTCTTGAAAATGCTCTTCACCTGCTCCAGGGTCGAACGTTCAGTCTTCATCGAGAAGCCCATCGCTCGTTGATCTGCAGAGCCAGAGGTGTGAGCCAAAAAAGCGCATATTTCAAATTCCTCTCTTGTTGGGGGCATTTTGCCCATTCCTCGCCTGGAATTTCAGGCAGGCGTGTAGCGGCCAGCGCAGCGCCAGAGGGGGGGAAGAGCGTACGCTTCTTGCCGTTGATGTGATCGAGGTAGTTGGCTGAGTCCTTGACGATGCAGTCGCACACATCGCAGTAGAAACCGGCCTGGTTGGACGTGGCAGTGCCGGGCACGACCACCTGCGCCTTGCCGAGCTTGGCATCGGTGTCGACCTGGTACTCACGCGCCTTGAGCGGCTTTCGCAGGTGGGGCGGCAGCACGGGCTTCCCCGCTCCCGTCAGCACCGGCCCACGGTTCTTGAATGCCGGGTGGTCCTGCTCTGTGGCGGTTGACGGTTTTATTTGTATTTTGATGAAATAAATCGTAAGCAATTGCGAAAATGATGGACGTACCGGGTTCGACCTCTTCTTCGCCCTCTTGGCGCTCCCTGGCCTTCTTCTCGTAGAACTCTTTGTCCCACTTCCTGCGGAAGGGATGGCTCTTCTTCACCTCCTTCCCGTATCCATCCTCGGCCGACATCTTCTCTTCTTTTTATTTGCCTATTTCTTTTCTTCTTTCTTTTCTTCGCCTTTACTCCTGTTGGAATTTCTGGTATGTGGAGTGTGTTTCTGTGCCAAAGTGTGTTGGAAATGTGCAGTAGCTATGTTCAGAGCGACTATGAAACAACCAAATATACAGGAATGTTGGTCTCCAGGCTTGATGTGAACCAACTGGCTGGCTTACGGGCCGAGGGGTCCACAGGGCGACGACGTGGTCTGGTAATCGTAGCCGTTGCAGTTGCCCGGGCGCAGGTACTGGCACACGTAGATCGGCCGGCCCGACGAGCACCGCCCGATGCCGCAACCGACGTAGGCCGTCATGCGCCACAGGACCTGCGTGAAGTGTCCGCACGTGCCGCCGCTGCACCGCTTCGTCACCGGGTCGTAGTACTGTGCCTCGCTGTCGACCCACCCATTGAGCACCGCAGCAATGCTCGAGTGGCCCATCGCCAGATTTTCACCTACACCACCGCATGCCACCGACCATTGGTTAGCATCCATTTTGTGTGTGCGGTCGAGCGTGTGCGTGTGCGGTCGTACCATAGTCGCCGCCGCTGTGCGAAAAAGTGCATCCGGCGGCCAGCGTGTTAGCATAGCTCTGGGCTGAGCTCTCGAGATTGGTGCTCCAGGCCAGCGCAGGCACGCCGTACTGAGCCCGCTTGGCGTTGTGCTCGTTGAGCCACGTGGCGGCGTCACCCGACGAAGGCACCGGGGAGGCCTTAGGCGAGGCGCTGGCCGACGGCGCCGGCGAGCGGCTGGGCGACGGGACCGGCGACGCGCCGGAAGAGGGCTCAGGCGAGGCGTCTGGCGACGCCGCAGGCGACGGTACGGGGGTGGATCCGCCGCCGCCGCCGCCGCTGGTGGTGACGGTGTAGGTGGCGCTGGCGCGGATGGCGCCGGTCGAAATGACGAGGTACACCTTGTAGGTGCCCTCGCCGAGACCCCAGGTGTTGAAGGTGACCGAGCCGCTGTTGGATCGCACGTACTTGTAGAGACTGGTCGAGGTGCGGCCGCTCGCGAACACGCCGATCCACGTGCTCCTCACTGGGTTGGGGGGAAAGAACGAAGTCAGATTCGACGAAAAAGAAAGAAGAAAGAAAGCGGTCACAAAAGAGCGAAGCGTACCGCTATCGGCGGTGTAGGTGGCGGTGAATGAGGCTCCGGGTTCTCCGCTGGCGGGGTTGACCGACAGGGAGTAGGCTACGAACATAACAAGATCACAAAGATACGATGTGAGGTGGAGAAGAAGGTGAGCCAGACGCTCAGAAAGAAGAGCGGCTACCTCGCTTGAGGCGCTGGTCGTCGATGTCGGTCGAGTTGAACGAGAGGAAGTCGAGTACGGGTCCGTTGGTTCCGGTGGCCTCCACCACCAGGTCGTCTTCGTCACCGGCCGTTTGGTCGTCGGCCACGGCCCCGGTGGCCAGCGCGCACACCAGGAGCCCGAGGAGACACAACACAAGCGATCCCCGCTTCATCACGAAACCACGACTTGCTAAACTGATATATCGGCACTGGGTGTGTGTAGGTGTGGCCCTATAAGAGAGACTAGTTGACAACTGAGAAGCGAACCGGCGCCCAAGCTTTACTTTTATGTTGTCTTGGTTGATGTGGTGGTCGCATAGGAGTCACGGAGCGAGAGGTCGCTGTAACTTCTCGTCAAAGGAGCTCTCGCCAGTGGTCGAACGTGGTTGTTCCAGTTCCCTCGCTTATGGCACCGAGAGGGGACCTGTGCGACCACCCGTGCCAGCAGATAGAGCCGCAGTACGACAAAGACGTGCGAATGGGAAGAAGAGAAGTTGATCGCCTTCTGTGAGTTCATTTCGTTGGGGCTAGCTGTTATGTGAAGGCCGCTACAGTGTCGTGGTGGTCGTGTGGTTGGTGTTGCGGCTGCGCCGCTGGGAGACGAGTGATCGGAGCCGGCCGAGGAGGCCCGCGTGTTTCTCGTCCCGGGGGGTGAGCGTCTCGACTCCGCCGTAGAAGCCCGCCGGGTAGTGCGGTGGACCGCCCAGCCCGTGTGGGTACAGCGAGCTCCCGCCAGCCGCCGGCCTCTTGTTCTGTGTTGATGTTGGTTGCCGATCCATCGCCTTTCTTTGGTTGGCTGTGTGAGCTACTGGGTGTGTCGTGTCGTGTTGTGAGCTGAGGCTAGCTTGCGACCGGAAGAGCTGAACAGCACCTGCGCCAAGCAACACGGCGAGTGCGTTTGCACCACTTTCGGCCAAACGTACGGAACCGCCCCGGGGAAGACGTTCAGACGTGCAGAGCACGTGTCGCAAAGAGGCTCTCTTCTGCGGAACGAATGAACAGGACAGCGGGTACAGAGAAGATCTAGAGATTCGATGTCGCCCTCACTCTCCTTACATCCAATACTAAGAATGGAAGAGGAAGAAGAAGAGGGCGGAGAGGAGGAGGATGAGTGCGAGCAAGACGGCCCATCGCGAGAGGAAGTAGGGGGATGGACGAGAGCGCAGAAGGAGGAGGAGGGATTGCGCCTGCTGCTCGGTGTCCTTGAGATCGCCCGAGTTGTCGATCACAAAGTCGGCCCTCTCTCGCTTCTTGTCTGAACCGAGATCCAACCATCAGCGACCCATCACCACGCGCGCACGACGCGCACGACGCGCACGACACGCACGACACACACAATACCGAGAGGCATCTGGGCCTGGATCTTTTGTCGGGCTTCCTTCTCATCGATGTTGTCTCGCTTCATGAGGCGCTTGAGTTGGACATCGTCGGGCGCATACACCACCACGACGCTGCTCGTCAGACGGTGCAGGCCTGCATCAGCGATTGACAGAACGACACGGCCGTCCAAGGTGAGAACACGAAAGCTACAACGCGTGCGGTGAGGTTGAGAGAGGAAGGGGGGGGGGCTGTACCGGCCTCGTAGAGGAGCGGCGCGTCCAAGATGACGAGATCTGTGCCCCTCTGCATTTGGCAAGACGATTGTCAAACGATGGAGGACCGGAGGAGCAATCGCATCATCTTCGTACGATGAAGTGCCATAGCAGCTGCTTGGCCATCTCGATGAAGATGGGGCGATGTGTGATGGCCTGCAGCTTCTTTCGCTGGAGTGGATCAGCAAAGATGAGCGCGCCCAGTCGCTTGCGATCGATCTCGCCCGTTGCCTCCTCAATAAGGGACCCGCCCTCAGGATCTTTGAAATGTCGCAGGATCTTGTCGTAGGCGGGGGTGCCTCGCGCCACGACCTGTCGCGCTATCACATCGAGATCGATCACAGCTGGTGCAGTCTTTGCATCGCTCGTGAAGATCCTCGTGACCGTGCTCTTGCCCGACGAGATACCTCCTGTCAATCCAACGATCTTCATCAAGAGCTTTATTTATTTTTAGTTATTTTTTGAATTTTAAAATAAAAAACATCGGTCTAGATGGAGCAGACGGAGACGACAGGACGAAGCGTGCCCTCGTCGGCGGTGGCTGCACATATGCAGGCCGCACAGGAGAGGGCGCGGGTGCACCCGGCCTGGCAAGCGCTCAACTTCGAGAAATGGATCAAGTGCGTGATTTTGGGCGATGTCCTCGACGAGGGCGATGAAGTGCTCGAAATCTCTTGCGGGCACACAGGGGCCGAGGACAGCAACACCGGCGGCGCAGGTGGCGGCACGCACCACACCTACGCACGGCACAAGATCCAACATCTCACTACTGTCGGTACACGCGCATGAAGTCCAGCAGGCTCTGACCGCCCCGTGTACTTACGGGGTCTTCTTCCTTACAGACTCGTCGGCCACCGTGGTAGCCGCGGCACAGCGCAAGTGGGAGAAGACGAAGCGGTTCGACGCCGAGTTTGCGACTGCCGACCTCTACACGGTACCTCCTTCTTCCTCCTTGCATCGACGGTACTGCCAAACCAGCTGACGCGCTGCACTACATGACCACACACGACACGACACGACCAACGACACGACACAGATATCGCTCGATCAGGTGCTCAGGGAGGGGAGAAGCTTCGACGTGGTGGTGTGCTTTGATGGGATGCAGAACAGCTTCGCCTCGGAGGAGACGGCCGAGATGTTCCTCCGCAGCGCCACCTGCCGCCTGCGCGAGGGCGGGTACTTCCTCGGCTTCCTCCCCGACTCCTCCGCCATCTGGTACAACTCAACCTCTTGCGCCTTGTGCCGTGCGTGCGTGCGTGCGTGCGTGCGTGCGTGCGTGCGTGCGTGCGTGCGTGCCGCTTCATTGATTAGTACGTCGTTTGGTTGTTGGTGCCGTGTGGGGTCTGGGCTGCGTCGTGTGGTGCGCGCGTAGGAGCAAGGCGGCCAAGGTGAACTCGAAAGGTGACGAGGCGCCCAAGTTTGGCGGAGACCTCTACAAGATCGAGTTCAACGACGACCTCAGCCGATTCCAACCCTTTGGTACGCACACAACCGTTTGTGGATGCGCGCGACGCGTGCGGCTTCAGCCTGTGTCTGTGTTCATCACACGCACCGCCGCACACAGGAACGTCGTACACGCACAGGATGCGCGAGATGGAGGATCGGAAGCAGTACCTGGTCCACTTCCCCACGCTGCTCCAGCTGGCCAGGAAGCTGCAGCTGGAGATGGTGGAGGTGGTCAACTTCATCGACTTTTACGAGGACCACAAGAAGAGCCACGAGGCCGCGCTCACCGAGATCATGGGCTGGACCAAGACCAACAAGAAGCTCTTCCCCAACCAGCTCGAGCTCATCGGTAGCCCCAATGATTTTATTTCACATATTTATATATTGATGTGTATTGTGTATATTATTGATTATTATTACTTTTTGATTATATGCTAAAATATAAATGTGCCACCAGGTCTGCGTACAACGTTCGTCTTCCGAAAACTGCGGTCTGGGGAGTCCATGCCATGATGAAGGAGATGAAGATGAAGAAGACCGGTCGGCACGATGGACATGGAGGTGGAGACAACAAATCGTGATTTGAATAAATAAATGGTAAACAAAGGCAATGTGCGTGTAGGCCAGTCTACACGCCGTCCTCGATGAGGAGCTCGTAGTGGGTCGAGGTGGCGTTGATCGCCTCATTCCTCTTCTTCCTTCGCTGCTGGACGTAGTTGAGCGCCATGCCCATGCCCACAGTCACCAGGACCACGCCCACAATGATGCCCGTCACTGTGTGCCACGATGCAAAGAAATAAGTCGAATAAATCCAGAGTTGTAGACTCTAGCAAGAGGGCGAAGGCGGTACCGATGCCTGCAATGTCGCCGCTGCTCAGGCCATCGTCGCTCTCCTTCTTTGCTGGCGCCGGCGTGGCTACATTTATGCGCCACGACACACGACACGACACACACGACACGACACGACACGCGTGAGTAAGTCGGAGAAGGTATGCACGGCGAGAGCCGACGCAAGTGTACCAGAGGCGATCTTGATGACGGAGCTGAAGGTCTCCTGCATGGTGCCGACGTCGCCATCGAGACCCACCTTGAGGGTGACGTTGAAGGACCCCGACGCGTTGTACGTATGGGTCAGGACCTGATTCCTCCTCAGCTGCGGCACGTCGACCGAATTATCGCCAAAGTCCCAACTGCGCGAGGCCATTCAATCCATGTAAGCGCGTATGTCGCATGTGTCGTGTTGTGTTGTGCCATGTTGTGTTGTGGCGTGTGGCGTGTGGTTGTGTGTGTGTGTGTGTGTGTCGTATTTGTCGTGTGTGCCGTGGCGTGTGTGGCGTGTAGACCTGTAGGTGATGGTGTAGTCAGGGTTGTTTCGGTCCTCCTCGGGAATGCAGGCCCACACGGTCAAGACCGAGTCCTTGGTGCGGTTGCCCTGGACAATGATGACGTCCTGCCCGGCGCGAGTCGCATTGTCCGTACAATCTGGCAACGGCATTCAAATTTAATTACGGTCTGCGTCAGCGGTGGCGTGTGCGGTCGTGCGTGTGCGATCGTGCGTACCAAAAATGCGGGAGATGGACGTGTAGTTGGTCTTGGTGTTGTTGTGCGTCACGTTGAGGCTGACATCGTAGATGCCCGGCTTCGTGTAAGTGTGCGACACCCAGCTCTGCATCCCCATTCGCCCAGCAGCTTATTAGTCTTTGGTGATCAATCAACTGGGCGAGCTGGCCAGGTGTATCATCTGGCACGCACCTCGTTGGCCTGCACTGGCATGCTGCCATCGCCGAAGCTCCACGAGTACTCGTACGCCGTGTCGTTCGCGCCCTGTACGAAGCCATTGCGCCACGGGTCTGCACAGAGCCGAAAACAAACTAAAACAATAAAAGGAGAGCGTACGGCGAGTGCAGGACCGCACGCATTGAAGTGCATGGGCTGATTGATCTCGACCGGCAATCTTCTCAATATGCCTTGGCCAGGCTCGCCTGATTCAAGAAGGGTTTGAGATTAAAAGAAAAAAAAGAAAAAAATCTCAAAGTGACAAATCGGCCAGTTGGGGACGTACAGGTAATTTGTGATGCAACAAGAGGGCAGAGGCAAGCCAGGAGCGACACGGTGAGCACCACCAAACAGCACTGCTGGACCGACATCTTTGTGTGCAAGCTGCGGGAGAGCTCTTTGTTTTGCTTTTGTGTCCCGGTTTTATTGCCTCGTAATTCCGATCATACTTGTCGCACTTTTGGTTGCCGACACTAGTCGGCACAAAAAAATGACCTTATGATCCACATCTTCTGGCGTGGTGACTGCCTGACTTCAGCAGTTGGGCACAGGCCAGGTGAGTGACTGGGCGCAGTACCATTTTCAGGTAACCTCCAGGCCAGGTGGTTCAGTTTGGATTTCCTGGTTGTTCTCCCTTTGCTGGTGGGCAACCAATATGTTCACAGCGGCACCCAGGGAAATTTCCTGCGGCCCAATGCGGTTTGCCGCAAACATGGTCCCTCAGCGCCGGCAGGACGAGGCCCGCACTCACTCGCTTTCCTCTGTGACCGCCCACACACACAACAAGACCAGACAGACGCGACAAGGGTCCTTGCAGAACAGACAGACACTCTTGTCACTGTCATCCCAACCGTTGCCACCTGGAGCCCGTGGTTTGTGCCCGTAAGTCCGGCCTGTTCTGTCTTCGTTTATTTTACTCTCTTCGTTCTTCTTCGTTCTTTTGCTTCGTTGCCTCGGTTGTCTGCGTAGGTGCTGTGCCCTCCCTTGTGTGGTAGTTCTTCACCTCCACCTCACCAGTTTTTAGGTTTGATTGGAGTTGGTGACGCCTGTGGGCCTGTTGGCTCACCACTCTCCTTTTCCCCCTCTGTGACACAGACAGGGCGGCTGCCGCATAGAAGAAGTCACTTCATCCTCATCTTTCTCGTTCGTTCTCGTGCTATCTCTGCACCGCTTCCGCCGTTGTCCTGGTGAAGGTGCTTCCCTCGGGTTTGCACTCTCGGACCTAACCAGGCATTCATTTCGTGAACAACTAATTTTTTTTGAATATATCGTTATTTGTTATTTGTTGTTTGTTTTCTACTGCCCACGTCTTCCGTTCTCACTTCTTGGCTCCACAGGAATCGATAACCTCGTCCTCTGCTGCCTACGCCTCGTCTCATCCACCATCCTCGCTGATAGATAGATAACATCGAAGGGCGGACATAAAGACGAAGGTAATCGATTCGATTACGGCCGAGACGAAGAAGGAGACGAAGTAGCATAGGAGAGGACCGATATCTCAAACGACAAGCGGCCTTGAAGACGCACGAGGCGGAAGGAGGAGATTTAATCTTCGCGTAGAGCGAGAAGATCAACAGCGGTGAAGAAAATCGGAGGTAGAGGAGGAAGTAGAGAAAGATGAAACGTAACCTGCTCCCATCAGGGTCATCGCTGCTCCATCAGCCTACGGTCGTGGAGGCCGATCTCGAGGGCATGGGAAACAGCAGCAGCGAAGATGAAAGCGACGTAGACGCGTCGCCCCTCATCATCAAGCGATCTCTCAAAGGGTCGTCGGAGCGAGGTCACGTGCGACCACATCACCAACACCAGAACCGACTCTACCAACTACGCGACGACCTGTGGCGACAAGGCTATCGATTCGTCCAGGAGAATCGCGCGCTCGTGCTGCGATCCTTCATCGCCGCCGTGGCCTTCGTCCTCTTCGTGCTGCTCATCGTCTACTGGCCGTATCTCAACAGCTACTGGATGGTGCCCCAGTGGCGTCGCGTGGAGGCCGGCTGGCGATCGTTCCGTGGCGATGTCGAACACTACCGACGAGAAAACGAGATGATGGCTCGAGCAGCATTCGATAAGCGACGCCTTCTTCGATCGCCACATGCCTGTGAGGCCCTGGGCGGAACCGCCGAGCATAGCAAGGTACCTTGTTTTACCATCTCTTTCATCTTCGCACCCCCCCCCCAAGATCCATCTTCGTCTTCGCTCTTTGCCACGTCTCCGTTCTTTTATGGAATTTGTGGAATGACGCCCTTACGGCTGTCTTCTGCCCGCGTCTCGTGGCTGTGCACGCTGCGGTCATTGTTCTTGACCTTCTTTCTTCGTTTCCTCGTAACCGTGGTGTGTCATTTATTCATCGTTCTAAAGCGTTTTCATTTGCAACCGTCACAGCGTGCGTGGTTGACCGCCGTCGCCAACAACAACTACGTGACGCCAACGCTGGCCCTGGCGCACACGCTCGACCAGTTCTCGTGCGTGAAGACCAAGATCGCGCTCGTGCCGGAAGACTTGGAGCTCGTCTCGGAGACCACGCGGGATCTGCTGCGCAAGGCCGGCTTCGAAGTCCGGGTCAAGCCCTCGCTCGACTGCATGTCTGCCCATGGCAGCGGCGCCAGCGAGATCGCTCTCTATCCCGGTACGCACCGGGCAGGCCCGAAGCATTTTTCTTATTATTATTTTCGTTTTCTGACATTTATTCTATTCAACTTTGCAGGTGAGTACATGCGGCTGTACGGGTGGAACATGACCGAGTTCGACAAGATCGTGTACGTCGACTGCGACATCATGCTCCTCGACAACATTGACGAGCTGTTCGAGACTCCGCTCCAGGTACCCTTCACCCGGGCTTTTCTTCTTCGTTCTTCATCGTTTTTCTTTGCTGACTCGTTTGGTCAAACACAGGACAACCAGATGGGCGCGGCCTACTTCGAGGAGCCCGGCATCGTAGACACGGGCGAGAATTCGGGTCTGCTGGTGATCAAGCCGCGCGAGCAGGAGTTCATCGACCTGCTCGCCGAGTGGCAGGCCCTCTTCCCGTCGGCCGGTTGCGTGGCCGACCAGCCCTTCCTGTGGCTCTTCTACCACCAGCCCGGCCGGAGCCTCAATCTCCTCCCCTACTCCTATAACATCCGCAAGAGGGTACACCGCCGCCGCCCACTCCACCACTTCCCTCTCCATTGCCGTCACATTGCCGCTCACATTCCTTTGCCGTGTGTGAAAAGATCTACCACCCGATGCGCGTGTGGCACTTTGCCGGACCGGCAAGGCTTGGCTACAAGCCCTGGATCTACCCCCACACTCCGGCCGAGAGCTATGACAGGTAAGCTTTGACCACCTGTAATTTCCGGCCGGCAGTCGGGGCCAGAGCGAGAAACTGACCCGCGTGGTTGGTGTTTACCAGGCCGATCGTGGCGTTCTCCGACGTGGTGGCCCTGTGGTGGCACTTCCTCTACGGGGCGGTGAAGAGCTACGGGCTGGAGCAGAACCCGTGGTGGCGAAAGGAGCACGAGCGCCTCATGTCCATCCGCCTCCAGGTCGAGGAGAGCCGCAACTTCCCGCCCCTCCGCGACGAGATCAAGAGATGATCATCGCCTTCATCACCGCCTCTTTCCTCTCTCTCTCCTTCTCTCCTTCTCTCTCCGCCTCATGATCATCATCATACTACACTTCCATCACGTCATCAACGTCACAGCGACGCCAACGCAGTCAGCCACGACACCTTCCCGACCCCAGCGGGACCCGCACCAGCACACCTCTCGAGCAGCCACAAGAACGGAAACGGCAAACCAGCGAGGAAAGAGCGAAGGCGAGAAGCAGAGAAGTGAAGCAAACCAACCGAGCGAGCGCGAGTTCAACTCTTCTCTTCCTTCTCGCCCTGGCGGATGGGCCAAGGACAGAAGGAAAATTTATTTATTTATTTATTTATTTTCAAGTGTACGCATATGCCTCAACATTTTTGTAGTTGTAAACCTCACCTTCTCGCCCTCTGTTCCTCTTCAGTTCTATGCCCCTTTTGGCCAACAGTTATCCAAATAGCTCAAGTTTCCTTTTCGGCTTTTCAGTCGTGTTTGCCTTTTCTTTGCCTGGGCTGCTCCGAGGAAGAAGGAGAGAAAAGAAGAAGAAGGAGAAAAGAAGCCATTTGCCGTGCCGGTGAGCAGAGGAAGAGGCAGGTGCGGGGCCTCTCGAGTCGGCCGATTAAGCACAGCCAAGCCTCCGATTGGAGAGCAGACTGGTAACCGTTGTTGTTGTTGTTGCAGTTCTCACCTGGGAGGGTTTTTTGGACCACTCACCACTGACATCAGGCTGGGGGTGTCGACACACCAGCCCAACACTCGGCCGGAGCCGCCTCAAATACAAAACCACAACAGCGCATGGAGAAGCAACGACAGCAACGCCACCTGCCGGCGCTCGGCATCGCCCACCTGAGCGTCTTCCTTCTCCTGCTACTCTACGCACACTCTGGTACCTTCACTTTTTTTTTCAAATTTCTTTGCCCCGGAGCACTGATGGTGGTGCCGCAGGTGAGTCGGTCGACGTGTGGGTCGGTGGCGACGTGAGCCAGGAGGCCCTGTGGGGCGAATACGCGGCCGGCTACCTCAACCACAAGGCCAGCGTGCATGTGAGCTTCGAGGCCGATATCGGCATCAACAGCCTTTCGGTGCTTGCCGGTACCCAACCCCCCCCCTCCAGCCCCATCTGCCTCGCGCCTCCCTTTGTCTGGGCTTCTTGCGTGTTCTGAGATACTCCGCGCGCTTGTCACACTCTTCTCTTCTCTTCTCGCACCATTTCCTTTTCATAAAATATCTCAATGAATGCAAATTATATAATTTGAATATGTTGTTTATGGCAATTCATATAACTTGTGATGCACACAACACTCGTTTCATTTACTCGGCCATCGATTAGTGATCACTAATTAATGCTGCCGTTTGTGTTGGCATGCAACACTAGCCGGCAAGGTTGACTTGGCCATACTCGGGGCCGAGCTGACACCCGACGTCACGGCGCCGCTTGCCGACAGCGCCGCTGGCGGCTACCTCTTCCAGCTGCCCTTTGTCGGTTCGTCCGCCATGCCTCGCGAGTCAGTTTCATTCTTCTTCGTTCTCACACGTGTTCCGTTCTTCTTCTTTATTGTGATTGTTTTATTTTGGTATATTTATTACATTTTTTTAATGTACTCCTAACATTTAGGGACGGCGATGGTGGCCGCCTACAACCTGCCCACGCTCCAGTCCAGCGACCCGCCCCTGGTACGGACACACCGCGTGCCAGCTGTTGTCAGTGTTATCGCTGATCCCGCACACGGCCTCCCTGACACAACATTCTTGGTCGCCGCCCCACGTGGTATGGCCATTCCACGCATTTTGTGTCGTGCCGTGTCGTATGTTGCGTTCAGACGCTGAACGGTGAGACGCTGGCACGAATCTACCTGGGTACGCGGAGAGGAGCCAGAGAACTCTCTTAGGGTTCCGGCGTTCGTGCAGCGCTAAACCTCGAAAATCTCTCTTTCTCTCTCTCTCTTCGCGTTACAGGCGATATTCGCTTCTGGAACGATTCGGCCATCGCCGCGCTCAACTCGGGGCTGGCGCTCGCCAACAAGCTGCCCTCCGAGAGGATCCTCCTCAGCGCCTATTGGGACCAAGCGCTCGAGGTGACGCAGGTATGGACCCGTCCCTCTCCCCACGACACGAATTCATGTTGATCCTTATATCGTTGTGTCGTGTGTGTCGTGCATGTCGTGTGCGGTGTGTGTGTGTCGGTGTGTCGTGCGTCGTTGGTGCTTGGTAAACGCTGCAGGTGTTTGGCGAGATGATGTGCGCATTCTCGGCGAGCTTCGAGACGGCTTACAACAGCGTGGGCAGGAACCTCACCCTCATGCCTCCGGCGGCCGACGGGATGACCATCAGCGAATCGCATGAAGCTCAGGCCGACTTCGTCTCGGTAGGCCTTCACTCGCCTCGCTCTCTCGAGTCTAGCCTGGATGCGCTCACGCCTATTTTGCATTTGTGTGTCGTGTCGTGTTTCCAGATGACGCAGTACTCTCTGGCGTACATGGACCTCACGTTCGCGACGCGCGCGAACGTGACCTCTGCGAGCATGGTCAATCGGGAAGGCCAAACGGTCGCGCCCACCACCACTGCCATCCGCTCCGGTACGCAGCCACTCTCGCCCACACTGAATCCAGGCCCTAAGCTTCTTCTTTTTCCTTTGGGCGTGCACGCAGCCATGGAAGCCATGAGCGATCAAATACAGGAGGGCTCGTACACCCTTAACATCACAAACGCTCCGCGTACGCCCCCCCCCACACGCACACGCACACGCACACGCACACGCACACGCACACGCACACGCACACGCACGACCGCACACGCACACGCACACGAGGGACTGATGTGGTAGTGTCCGGGTTGCAGAGGCGGAGTCGTGGCCGATGAGTTATCTGCTGTATGCCACGCTGTCCCGAAATCTCACCAACCCGCTCAGCGGATGTCCCACCGCCAAGGAGCTGCTCAGCATCATCTTCTGGTCGCAGACCAACCCCGCTGTACGACTGCGCCGCACGCGTGCATTCCTCTCATTCCATTCTTCGTCGTTGTATTGAATTCACTGGTGCGTGTCGGTTGCCGTGTTGCGCAGGCTCTTGCCGTGGCCGAGGCACACCACTACGCGACCCTGCCCATTCCGTTGCTACGGTGCGGCCCTTTAAGCTCGTTTTCGACTCGACAGGCCGTCACGCGGAGGCCCTCCGTGCGCTTACTTTCGCCCTTCTTTGGGGGTGAGTCGCACAGGTTGCTCCTCAACGCGATCAACTCGATCCAGTGCAACGGCCGACAGTCCTTCTCCACTGCCGCGGTCATGGGCGTCGGCACATCGCTTGACATCTACTCCTCCTGGGCGTACCCTTCCCTCCCTCCCCCCACCGTCCCCCCTCTCCATCACGTCCCTGTCGCTAACAGGGTCGTGTCGTGTCGTGCGTGTAATCCTCCAGAGACGAGCAATCCTCGCGCAGCGAAGTGTTCCAATACTTCAGGACCAACAACGACGACGCCGTGACGGACATGGCCCTCGGTACCTTCCCCCCCCCGCCCCGCAAAGCCCTGTGTCGGCGTCATCGAGTGTAGATCGGTCGGACACTTTCTTCTCATTATATTGTATCCCCCCCGGACCCAATCCCAGGCTTCACGGACTTTGGCGGCTTGGACTCGGAGTTGACGGCCGCCCAGGCCACGGGGCTGCCGGACGTGGCGGTGCTGCCGATGGTGGCCCACGCCGTGGTGCCGACCCACAGCGTCGACGTCTACGCCTACGGACACATCTACTTCGACTTGCCCACCGTGGCCGACATCTACCTGGGTACCCCCAACCCCTCGGTTGTTGTTTCTTGTCGACCGCTCAGTCGTAACGTAACGTGCTGACGTCAGCTTTTCTTTTTCCCCGACTTGGATGGTTGCGGTGCAACCTTTTTAAACAAACGCAAGGCAACATCCAATGGTGGAACGACTCGCGTATCTTGACGATGAACGCGCACCTGGCGGAGCATATCCCGAGCGTGCCCATCTGCGTGATCTACCAGACCAACCCGTCGGTTGTCACTCAGGTCTTCACCACGGTCCTGGCCCGCAACGTGCCGCAGTTCGCCGAGCAGGTGCGCCGCACTCGACCACCAATTGATGATCTTGATCAACGCTCAACCCACTCTCGCTCGCAGATCACACCGGGCATGCAAGTGACATTCCCCAACCTGCACTCGTGCTCCATTGGCATCGATGGTTCGTCCCCCGCACACACGACACACGCACCACCGCACACGCACCATCGCACATCGCACACGACTGCAAGTGAGCTGATCGAGCGAGGCGCATGAATGAACGGCGCAGGCAATATCATCGACTCGTTCGAGCTGCCGAATGCCTTTGGAATGTGGATCATGCCGGACATCATTCCGTCGCCCTGGGCCGCGCCGACGATTGTCACCAACGCGGCAGGAAACGAAGCCTCCTCGCAGCCCGCTCGGGACATCGTCTCCGCGCTCCTCGAATACCAAGACCCGCTCCCCGCCGACGAGGCCATCTTCAAACTCGAAGGTTCAAAGTCGTCATAACCCGCACACGCACCACCGCACACGCACCACCGCACACGCACCACCGCACACGCACATATCTAACGGGCGGACGGAACGCGGTTACAGGAAAGGAAGGGAACAGCTGGCCGTTCGTGGTCGGGTCGGCCGTGATGTTCCAAACCCGGCCGACGACGAACTGCCCTTCCTCCGCAGCGCTCCTCGACTGGATCTGGTGGACGCAGAGCGACATCACCGCCATGGAGATGGCAGACAAGTACGCCTGCGTCGTGTCGAGTCGTTGGTCGTGTCGTGTCTAACCGGCGCGCAGCTACGGAATGGCGGTGGCGAGTACCAACGCGGCCGTGAAGCGGCGCATCCTCAACACGCTGGCCAGCGTGACGTGCCAGGGCGAGACCACGTTCTCGCTGGCTGGGTGCGTGTTCAACGGCACCTTCTGCTCCGATCGAGGCACCTGCTCGGCCGACGGCGTGTGCACCTGCAACGCCGGCTTCACCGTACGTTGTCCGCAACCTAAGCTAAGCTAAATAATCAATGCACGTCAGCCAACGGCCACCCAATCGCTGACCTCGCCTTATCGTCTTTTTCAAAGGGCAATTATTGCGAGCTGGAGTCGTCCAGCAGCGATTCGCTGTCCACCGCCGCCGTGCTCGGAATCGTGCTAGGTACCGGCTCTCTCGGAGCGAATGTGTTGCGCGTCGACGATAAAAACTGACCCAATACCGTGTGCGTGTGCGTGTGCGGTCTTGTTGGGTCATGGGTCCAGGCGTGCTTCTGCCGCTGTTCTGTCTGCTGTTGTTCCTGGTGCCGCTGATCGTGGTGGCCGTCGTGCTCGTCATTCTGCGCGCCAACCGTCGCAAGTCCGAGTGGGAGATCAACCCCGACGAGATCGAACTCGGTGAACCCCTCGGCATGGGCGGGTACCCACCACCGCCGCCGTCTTCGTTTTCTTCGTCGTTTTCGTTCTTCACCATTATCATGCCCGCGACTCACTCCGGCTGGGGGTGTTCAGGTTCGGCTGCGTGTATAAGGCCAGGTGGAGGGGCACGGAGGTGGCGGTCAAGATGCTGCCCTCGCACAACCCCAGCAAGGACATGGTCAACAACTTCAAGGACGAGGTACTCCTCTCGCCTGTTTTATATTAAATATTTAATATTTTGTGTTTTTTTAAAGGTAAATGATTTAATATAATATAATATAAAAACAAACAAAAAAACAGATCCACGTGATGATGGCGTTGCGGCACCCCAACGTGGTGCTGTTCATGGCAGCCTCGACCAAGCCCGAGAAGATGTGCCTGGTGATGGAGCTAATGGCCCTCGGCTCGCTGTACGACGTGCTGCACAACGAGCTGATCCCGGAGCTGCCGTTCCAGCTCAAGGTCAAGCTGGCCTACCAGGCGGCCAAGGGCATGCACTTCCTCCACTCGTCGGGCATCGTCCACCGCGACCTCAAATCGCTCAACCTCCTGCTCGACAACAAGTGGAACGTCAAGGTGGACAACACACACAACACACACGACACACCTAACACACACGACACACACACACACACACACACGACACACACACAACACACACACACGACTCACGCGCGTGGTGCAGGTGAGTGACTTTGGGTTGACGAAGTTCAAGCAAGAGATCAAGACGGGGAAGGAGGGCAACGAGGGCCTGGGCTCGATCCCGTGGACGGCGCCCGAGGTGCTCAACGACCAGCCCGACCTGGATTACGTGTTGGCCGACGTGTACAGCTTTGGCATCATCCTCTGGGAGCTCCTCACTCGCAGCAACCCCTATCCCGGCCTAGGTGACACGACGTGACACGACACGACACGCAACACGACACGATTAATTTATTATTATTTTGTATTATTTTGTGTGGACAGCCCGGCAGCGGTGGCGGTGGCGGTGATCAGGGACGACGCGCGGCCGAAGCTGCCCGACGAGGAGTCGCTCCACGTGACGCCCGAGTACGACGAGCTCATGCGCAGCTGCTGGCACATCGATCCGTCGATCCGCCCCACGTTCCTCGAGATCGTCACCCGCCTGAGCTCCATGGCCGGCGAGGTGTCGTCGTCGTCGCAGGGCGGCTCGTCGTCGTCCGCCTCCACCTTCACCAGCACCAATGCCGGCAAGGCCGCCAGGCAGCGCAGACGAGCCGGGTCCAGGGCGTCGGTCGATGGGTCGCTGTCGTCGTCGTCGGCGGGCCACAGCGCAGGGTCGTCGGTCTTCAATTACCCGATGATGACCGCGTCCGCGACCACGCGGCTGCGCGGGACGACGACCAACACCAACAGCTTCGGGGCCATCACCGCGCGCGTGCCGGCGCCGTCGGGCGAGGTGGCGATCGTGTTCTCGGACGTGACCAGCGCCGCGTCGCTGTGGGAGTTCAACCCGGAGGCCATGAAGGACGCCACGCTGGCCCACAACCAGCTCCTGCGGTCGCTGCTGGCCAAGCACCGCGGCTACCAGGTGCGGTCGACCCGCGAGCGCAACACGGGCGAGGGCTCGTTCTGCATGGTCTTCCAGGACCCGCTCGCGGCGGTCCACTGGTGCGCCGACGCCCAGCGGGCGCTGCTCGAGGTCGAGTGGCCCGCCGCGCTGCTCGGCCACCCGGGCGCCGCCGAAGAGTGGGGCGACACCGACGACAGGTACGCAGTGCGTGCGCGTGTGTGCGGTCGTGCATGTGCGATTGTGTGTGATTGTGTGCGTGTGCCGTGACTGAGTGTGTGCGTATGCGTGTGCGTGTGCAGGATCATGTACAAGGGCCTGCGGGTGCGGATGGGAGTGCATGTCGGGGAGCCGCGCATGGCGAAGGACCCGACCACCCGCAAGATGGACTACTACGGGCCGTCCGTCAACGCCGCCGCGCACATCACCGCCATGGCCCACGGCGGCCAGGTGGTTGTCTCCGAGCCCCTGCGGTCCGCGCTCGAGCTCAAGGACCGGCCGCACCTGCTCGACCTGGGCCGGTTCGAGATGAACGACGCGCCCAGCGGCACGGCCCACCTCTACGAGTGCAAGGTGGTCGGCCTCGAGGGCCGCTTCTTCGGCGGCGTGTCGGGCCGGCGCGGAGGCGGCGGCGGGGCTGACACAGGGTCGCCCCGCGCCGGCGACGACGATGAGAGCCTGGACGGCGAGAGCAGCGGTGCGAGCGCGGTGGTGCAGACGGCGGTGGGCGACGGTCTGACCAACAACGAGGACCGCTTCCTGACGTCGGCCAACCTGTGTCGGTGGGTGATCGACTTCAGTGAGGTCAAGACCGGCAAGCAGGCACGCACCCTCGATCGAGAGAGAGGAATGTCAGGCATGCAAGGAATGTGCTCATATGTCCTGCGTGTGCGGTCGTGTGTCTCGTGTGCGTGCGGTTGTGCGGTTGTGCGTGTGCGGTGCGCGATGTGAGAGCAGATCGGGATGGGCTCGTACGGTGTGGTCTACAAGGGCACGTGGAAGGGCGTCGACGTGGCGGTGAAGCGGTTCATCAAGCAGAACCTCGACGAGCGCCGGCTCCTGGAGTTCCGCGCCGAGATGGCCTTCCTCTCCGAGCTCCACCACCCCAACATCGTCCTCTTCATCGGTCAGTCGCCCCCCCCCCAATTGCCACGTCAGCTGGATAAACCGACAACTGACAGCGCTGCGCGATTGGTCGTTGACGTGTGATTTTATTCTTCTTTTTGTGTGATTTTATTCTTCTTTTTGTGGTTACATAGGCGCGTGCGTGCGAATGCCCAATCTGTGCATCGTGACGGAGTTCGTGCGCCAGGGCTGCCTGAAGGGCATCCTGCTCAACCGCAGCGTCAAGCTCGCGTGGAGCCAGCGCCTGCGCATGCTCAAGAGCGCCGCGCTGGGGGTGAACTACCTGCACTCGCTCACGCCCGTCATCATCCACCGCGACCTCAAGCCCTCCAACCTGCTCGTCGACGAGAACTGGAACGTCAAGATTGCCGACTTTGGGTTCGCCCGGATCAAGGAGGAGAACGCCACCATGACCCGCTGCGGCACGCCCTGCTGGACTGGTACACCTGTTTTTTTATTATTATTATTTAATTTCATGATCATTTTATTATTTGATTGTTTCTTTTTATATATTTGATTCAATTATCTTTAAATTAAATATTACCAATTATTTAATTGGATTTGCTGATCTATTTGGTCCCCACACAGCGCCTGAGGTGATCAGGGGCGAGAAGTACACGGAGAAGGCCGACGTCTACAGCTTCGGCGTCATCATGTGGGAGATGCTCACACGCAAGTGCGTTTGCCCGCCGCCTCCTTCTCCACGGGTCCGTGCGCGTGTTGCTGATGACCGTTGTGTCGCGTGTGTCGTCTGTGCGCAGGCAACCGTTCGCCGGGCGCAACTTCATGGGCGTGTCGCTCGACGTGCTCGAGGGCCGACGACCCCAGATGCCGTCGGACTGTCCCGAGAGCTTCCGCAAGATGATCGAGCGCTGCTGGCACGCCAAGGACTCCAAGCGGCCCGCCATGGACGAGCTCCTGGGCTTCTTCGACAGCCTCATCGGCGAGAACTCCCGCGGACTCGACGCTGTCTAGAAGTGACTTTGTGTGTCCACCACACCACACCACACCACACCACACCACACCACACCACACCACACGAACTAGCCATTAATGCTAAACATTCATTTTATTCTTCTTATTATCTTTTTTAACGGGTGTGAGTTGCGTGTGGTGAGTGAAGTGGTGCGGTGAGTGTGTGCGGTGAAGTGAAGTGATGAAGTGGAGTGGTGAGGTGATGAAGTGGAGTGTGGTGAGTGGGTGGTGGGGTGGGTGGGGTGTCAAGTGAGATGAGTGCGGCGTCCATAGGGCGCCGAGAGAGTGGTGGTTACAGAGTTGTGGCTGGCTGGCTTAGTAGGCCACCCTTCGCCTTCGGCTGCGGCTGCCGAAGAGGCGGGCGGGGATGGTGACGACGCGCACGACGACGTTGGTCACTCCACGGACGACGGAGCTCACGATCGGGATGTGCATGGCTAGGCTTGAGGTTGATGGTTGTTAACTGGAGGCTTGGGCGGTCAGCTCGAGAGCTTGATGTCGATGTCGATGTTGTGGATGTTGTTGTTGAGTGTTGAGAGTTGATGAAATGGGCCAAGGTGGGGCGAGTTATTTATCCTGGGGTCGGACTCCGGTGGGTGACATGCTCCAGGATTTCAGTTGGCAGGATTGCTGCGGAATTTCTGGAAGTTGTTGGCATTGTGCCAGGTTGAGGTCTCACACGAACTCTATGGCTGTTCTAATCTACAAACCCACTATCCTCCACCCAACCACCAACCCAAGATCCAATGTGATCTCATCACACCATCACCAACAACTCAAGTTCTATCTTTTGCTGGTTCTTGTCTGCGTCAGGAAATTGTTGTGGACTAGTTGATGACGTGGACCTATGGCGGTCGAGGCTCCAGCAAATTGGCCAATTTAGTTTGGTGGCTTGGGCACGACTGCTTCCAGCAATCAATCAAACAAGAAGACCACATTTGTATCTATACGTTATATTTATAAAGAAGATGCGAGGCAATCGTTTCCTGCAGGCGGTCGAGGATGACTTTCCCACGTGCCCCGGTTGCAATGACCAGGTCTTCCCTCGCGAACGCCCCGTCCGTGCCCTCGACGTACGTCGCCCCACGCCAAATCACCATTTTCACCCATTTTTAATTGATAAATAATTAAAAATTATTTTATACTCTCAACATCAATCTTCGATCAATCTTCGGCGTTTTTTGGTTTGTTGTCAATTATTTTAGATTTTATGAGCCGATCAGTAGGTGGATGGGTGGGTTGCCGGCGAGGACAAGAGTGAAGAAAGGATGAACGCGGAATGGCGGAAGGAAAGATGATGACGATGAAGAAGATGATGAAATGAGGACTTCGCACGTGTGTGGTCAAAGACTGTTTCGTGTGCGTGGTTCTGATGTCACTGACGTGTGTGTCGTGTCGTGTCGTGTGTCGTGCGGTGTGTTCGTCATGTGCAGGCCCAGTGGCACCCGAACTGCCTGAAGTGCACCACGTGCAAGACGCTCCTCAACGTGCGCTCGCTCGAGTCGTACGAGAAGAAGCCCTACTGCGCGGCCCACCGCCCGTCGGCCTCGGCCACCCAGGTCGCCGACGACGTTCACATCAAGCAGGCCACCTGTACGCACCGCACACGCCACACCGCACACGCCGCACGCACCGCACACGCGCTAACCGAGGGAACACGACACGCGACACGCGACACGCACACACAGCTGTGCCCAAGGCTGCGGATCGTGCGGCGGGAGTGGACGTGACGGCCCAGCGCAAGTTCGCCGCGCCCGGCCGCAACGTGCGACTTGACGCCCACGCCGACCGTGCCGCCGACCGCTTCACCAGCGACCGCTCGGCCGACACCGGAGAGGTGCGTGAAACACAACTCCGACACACCACACGCCACGCACGACACACACACGACACACAACACACCGCACGTACCGCACACGCCTCCTTAACTCTTTCCTCGGTGCACAGTACACCAAGGAGGCGATGCCTTCGGCGACCAACGCCGGCATCAGCTGGGCCGACTCGACCCACAAGGCCGACACCGGCGAATTCGTGAGGGAGGCCTCGGCCTCGCGCACGCAGGCCGGTATGCCCAATTTTTTTTTAGCTCCGATGCATTTTTTTAGCTCCGATATTCATGTCATCGCGCTGTTTGTTGTAGGTCACGCCTGGGCCGACCCGTCGCACAAGTCCGACCAGGGCGAGTTCGGCTCGACCCCGGCGGCGTCTGCCAGCTCGGCCGGCGCGACGTGGGCCGACCCCACTCGCCGCCACGACCAGGGCGAGTTCGTCAAGGACGCCGCCCCGCGCC